CTCTCTCTCTCTCTCTCTCTCTCTCTCTCTCTCTCGTTTTCCACTGTGTCATTTTGCTTTTACTTTACTTTCACCTTTCACTTATAATAAAGTTCTCTTATGTGGCTTTTTGTGTTTGACTTTAAATTTTCTTTCATCAGAACACAAGAACTGAGATTTGGAGTTTCAGCTCCCCACTTTCCTGTGACAATTGTAGGCTCCCAACTTTTTCTACACATAAGCAATGCCAAATACAGAATTAAAAATAACCAGGGCTCTGTGTTACTTGCTTCTGGGGTTGATTCCCCAGCACATACACAAACCTGATATATGTACACACACACACACACACACACACACACACACACACACACACAGTCTTTGAGTGAAATCCAGCAGAAACAACCACCAGAAATAGTCCTGCAAAGAAATTGCTCTTGGAATTATCAGAAGCAAACAATAAAATAATTTTCCCCTTAAATAAAATAAAAAAACAACTGACAATTTTGGTAGGTACATGGAAGCTCTAAAAGTTGATAGAGCAGATGCAAAAAGGAAATACAGATATTATGATAGATAAATACAGTAACAAAATTAAGAACTTCATGGGTAAGGATAATAGATTAGACACAGCTAAGAAGACTAAATGAAAAGCTAAGCCAAAAGAAATCTAGAATGAAACATTAAGAAACAAACAAACAGAAAAAGAACTTTGGATGTAATTCAGTGGTAAGAGCACTTACATAGCATGTATCAAGCCCTGAGTTCAATCTCCAGCACAAAAAAAATTATATATATATATATATATATATATATATATACACATATATATATAATATATTATATACACACACACACACAGAGAGAGAGAGAGAGAGAGAGAAGAAAGGATAGATATGGAGGATACAGTGAGCAGTGAGCAGCAGCTATAACATAAGTTTGAAAGAAGCTAGGGCAGAGACTGCATTTAAAAACATTAAAATGAATATTTTTAGTACCTATAAAAGCAACCAGATCCCAAATAAAAGACAACAAGTTTCTAGTAAGATAAATTAAAAGAAACCCACACTTAGATACATAATAGTAAAACTTTAAAATGCTAAAGATCAAAGATAAACTCTTAAAAAGTCTATGGTCATTTTATAAAATGCCCACTCCTCCTCCGATGGGTGGAGATTCCCCTCAAATGTGAGAAAGACTTGCTTATAAAGAATATAATGTAGTAGATGGGCTGGAGTTGTGGCTCAGTGGTGGAGCACTTGCCTAGCAGGGGTGAAGCACTTGGTTCAATTCTCATCACCATATATAAATAAATAAAATAAAGGTCCATCAACAACGACAAAAAAGAAAATAATGTAGTAGAAATGATAGTGTCCAAAGTTAAGTCATGAAAGATATTGCCATTTCTGCTCTGCACACTCTTTGTGTTGATTCATATCTGGAATGTCCCTCAAAGTCTCATTTTGAAAGCATGATCTCCTAGCAAGGTTCAGAGGTGGAGCTTTCCAAAGTGATTGCATGAGGGCTCTGACCTCATCAATGGATTAATCGCTTGATGCCTAAATGGACTCTGAGGGGAGGGACCAGTACTAAGCCCTAGAAGGGTTTAGCTTCTCCATGGCCCTTTCTTCCCCTCTCCTTCCCACTTCCCTCTGTCTCCTCCTCCTCTCCTTCCTGGATGCCATGAGCTAAGCAAGTTTCCTCTGCCCCACCCCTCCACCATGATGTTGGAGCCATTTAACCATGAACCGAATCCCCTGAAATAATGAGTCAAAACAAATCTTTTCTCCTTTAAGTTGTTCTTGTCAGGCATTTTGTTTACAGCAATGAAAAGCTAACACAGATTGATTCATCTGGGGAAACCCAGCTGAGTTACTAGAATCAATTGTCAGCCATGCAAGTGAGCCAGTGCTATCCAGGAGTCAGTGCAAAGAGAACAATGAATTGTTCCCTGTTCTGTTACCTCTGTACCCAGTCAAGCCTTCAGATGCCTTCAACTTCAGCTGACATCTTGACTATATTCTGAGCCAGTACTTCCCATATAAGGAGCTTCTTTAATGTTTGACTCATGAATACTTCAAAGTTTATTTTTTAAATCATTACATGTGGGGGTTATTTGTTATGCAGCAATTAATAACTAACAACATTGTAAAGCAACTGATAACTAACACAGGAGACATTGTAACAGCCAATATCATCAGCAGTAATGAAAAATAGGATAGTGGAATGAAATTTCCAAAGTGTTGTGAGGAAATAATTGACAACACAGAATTCAATACATGGTTAAAAACAAAGACATTTTCAGACAAACAAAACCTGAGAGTTTGCCCCTGGCAGACTACATTAAAAGAAATTCTCAAAGTTGAACTTCAGGCAGAAAGAAAATGATTCCAGACAAAAGGATGAAGATGTAAAAAGAACAAATAAAGGATAAGTTATATGAGCAAATCTAAATCAGCATTAATGATATATACTAAAATAATTTGTAGTTTTACAAAACAGAATTAAAGCCAAGCACAGTAGCACACACATGTAAATCCCAGCAACTGGGGAGGCTGAGGAAGGACTGAAAATTCAAAGCCAACCTCAGCAACTTACTGAGGCCCTAAGCAACTAGTAAAACCCTGTTGCAAAACACTAAATAAAAAGGGCTGGGGATATAAAGCACCTCTGGGTTCAATCCCCAATATGAAAAAAAAACCAGAATATATTCAAGATCAATAGCATACATATCAGGAAAGAGGTGAATGGTGTTAAAGTGTTCTACATATTGTATGACTACATGGAGTAGGGTAGAGATATTCATTGTTACTTTTTCCTTTCTTTTCTTTCTTTCTTTCTTTCTTTCTTTTTTTTTTTTTTTGGTGCTGGAGATCCAACCCAAGCCCTTCCCAAATTAAGTATGTATTCTGTCACTGAGCTTTGCTCCAGCCCAATAAATTTAAATTTTGTAAAAAAAAAAAGTACTTTTCCCAGAAGACATCTTACTAAATATAAAAACCTATTAAAAAGTTAATAGTAACTAAGAAAATGAGGTAGGGAAGGGAATAAGTTCAGAAGTGGACACAAACATATTTATGACAAGATTGGGGTAAAGTGTGTCTTTTTAAGAAAGTGAATCTTGGGCAAGTGGATATTCACATTGACTCATTCACAAAAATCAATCCAGATGGATTGCAGACTTAAATGACAGTTATTTTAGTCAGGTGTTTCACTGCTATGACCAAAAGACCTTACCAGAACAATTTTCTTTGTATAAACTTTGTTTCTTTTTTTTAATATTTATTTTTTAGTTTTAGGTGGACAGAGTATCTTTATTTTATTTTTATGCGGTGCTGAAGATGAACCCAGTGCCTCATGCATGCTAGGCGAGGGCTCTACCACTAAGTCACAACCACAGCCCTAGAACAATTTTTTTTAATTTCTTTTAGTTGTAAATAGACTTTTATTTTATTTATTTATATATGTTGCCAAGAATCAAACCCAGTGCCTCACATATGCCAGGCAAGTGCACTACCACTCAGCCATAGCCCTAGCCCTGACCAGAACAATTTTAGAGGAGGAAAAGTTTATTTGGTGTTCATGGTTTCAGATATCTCAGTCCACAAATGGCCAACTCCATTGTTTTGGAGTGGAGGTGAGCAGAACATCATGGTGGAAGAAAGCAGTTCAGGACATGATACCAAGAAGCACAGAGAAGGAGCTCAGCTCTCCAACCACACCCCCTGTGACCCATATCCTCCATTCCCACCCTACCTGCCTATAGTTACCACCCAGTTAATTCCTATCGTGGATTAATGCACTGATTAGTTTAAGGCTTTCATAACCCAACCATTTCACCTCAAAACTTTCTTGTATTATCTAATGAATGAGTTTTGGAAGGACACCTCATATCTAAACCAAAATAATGGGTAAAACAAAAAAAATTAGAAGAAAGTAGGAGAATGTTTTCATGACCTTAAAGTAGGCATAGACTTACTAAATGGGAAAAACTGATCAATTAACTCAGATTAAAATTAAAAAACAGATTTTTCAGACACTTCTAGAAAATTTGGGGGGAAATATATTTGGCAGTATCCACCAAAGCTAAATTTTGACTTAGCAATTCCAGCCCTAGATATATACCTAACAGAAATACACAGGTTCAGGGATGAAGCTGTAGCTCAGTGGAAGAGCACTTGCCTAGTATGTGTGAGGTACTGGGCTCGATCCCTAGCAAGATATAATAAATAAATAAATAAATAAAATAAAGGCATTCTGTCCATCTACAACTACAAAAAAATAAAATAAAAAGAAATATAAAGGTTCAGATGTTCCAGTTTATATAATCTCAGGCTGCTTTTGTGCAAAATGGCAGAGTGTAATAGTTCTTTCAGAAGCCATATAGCCACACCTAAACACATCTACTATGTAGCCTTTTACAGAAAAAAGACTTTGCCAGTTCTTGGTCTACAGGGGAAAAAAACAACAATATGCATAAGTATCTCATGATAGTGGTTTTACATCAATTCTAGAAAGCTCCCTTTATTTCTATGACCAACACTTTCAGTATACATCTTATAGCTATATAAAAGAATAGAATAAAAGGTTGTGCTATATTTTATTCTGATTTGTTAAAGGGATATTTAAAACAGTGATTCTCAATGGCCAATCCCCAGATCACTGACCTGCCATGAAATTTTCATTTGTCCATAGTGAAAGGTAAAAAGTAAAGACAACTTTGGCAGATTTTCATAGTGTTAATTCACTATAATGGGCTATTTATCATAATTACATCTTTTCTACATTTTTAAATATTAAAATTCCCTTTTCTGAAACAATGCTGATAATAAGTTGTTAATTTTAAGACAGCAAAATTAGCAGTTGATAACATTTATCCAATCATTCATTTCTGAAGTATTGTGAGGAAATAATAAAACATAATCGTTCTTAAAATCTAAAGGTTAGGAAACCATTGATTTAGAGGCTTTTGCTCCAATATGGTTTCTCTAATGCTGCATATACTTCATGTATCATTGCTGAAGGAATTTCTTAAAATGTATTTTGCAGTGTCTAATAAGTGAAGAACTACAACTGAAGGCTTTCCCACACTCATTACAGTCATAAGGTTTTTCTCCAGTATGAATTCTCTGATGTTTAGCAAAGGATGAGTCATGCCTAAAGGCTTTCCCACAGTGACTGCACTCATAAGGTTTCACTCCAGTATGAACTCTCTGATGAATGGAAAGATGTATTCTCTGACTAAAGGCTTTCCCACATTCCTTGCACTTATATGGTCTTTCTCCAGTATGAGTTCTCTGGTGCTGAGTTAGGTATGTGCTATGGCTGAAGTTTTTATTGCATACATTACAAATGTAGGGTTTCACCCCAGTATGAATAATCTCATGTTGCCTCAAGTGTCTAATCTGGAAAAATGCTTTTCCACAGTCTTTGCATGTAAATAGTTTCTCTCTAACATGAGTTCTCAGATGCTGGATCAGTCCAATGCTCTGGCTGAAGGCTTTCTCACATATCTCACATTCATAGGGCTTCTCTCCAGTATGAATTCTAACATGTTGAGTAAGGGATGAAGGATGTCTAAAGGTTTTCCCACATTCCTTACATTCATAGGGTTTCTCACCAGTATGGATTCTTTGATGGGGAATAAGGGATGAACTTTGGCTAAAGGCTTTTCCACATTCCTTACATCTGAAAGGTTTCTCTCCAGTATGAATTCTCATATGTTCAGTAAGATGAATGAGTTGTTTGAAATTTTTTTCACAAATGTTACATTCAAAGGTTTTCATTTTTGTATAACTCCTTGAATGATTAATCAAATCTAAATTGCATTTGTTTCTCTTTCCAGGTGTGTCATTTTTATGGTCTTTTGTTCTTGAAGAGCCTGTTAGTCCTGGGGTAATTTTTGAGCTAAAATTAACTTTTTTGTCAAATTGCTTAGATTCTTGGCTTTTCTCTTGAGTGAGAATTTTCTTATGGATTGAGGGGATTGGCCCCTCAGGTGATCTACCTTGGTTTTCCAGGTAACTTTCTAATTTATCACATTTTGAGACTCTTCCCAATGTAGAATACAAGGTGCTTCTCCTTGTGGACCTTTCCTGTATCAGCCCAGAATGTAATTCTTCCCATGAAATTTCATTCTTTAAGGTTGATTCTTTGGTTTCTGTTTTATTCGCCAAGTCTGAAAGAAAGCCAAACATAAAAATGATCCATACTTACTGCAGATCAAAAATTAAATTGCCACAATGAGAACAGATGGGAAAATATACATACTAGCTACAGAAGGCTTGGACTGTCTTCAAAGTGATCCTGCCACCTAAAGAGCTGATATGAAAGCATGTGAAGAAATGGTAAGAGGAAAGAAGCTTTGAAAATCAACGAGGAGCTCATCCATGTGAATTGCTAAAGGGAATAAACCAAGAAAATAAGGGCAAATATTTTAAAATATGATTAAGAAATACAGAATTCTAGGGTTGGGTTGTAGCTCAGCAGTGGAGTACTCACCTAGTATGTGTAAGGCACTGTGTTTGCTCCTCAGCACCACATATAAATAAACAAAGGTATTTTGTCCATTTACTATATGTGTATGTGAGGGTGTGTGTATGAATATATGTGTGTGTGTATACACACATATATTCTCATATATATATATGAGAAACAAGATTTTTTAAAAATATTTTTATTAGGTCACAACACTTTTATTTTATTTATTTACATGTAGTGCTGAGGAGCAAACCCAGGGCCTCACATGTGCTAGGCAAGTGCTCTACCACTGAGCCACAACCCGGCCACAGAAAAGCAGGATTCTAACACTATATTTCTAAGAAAAAATAATTCTTTAAGAGAAAAGTACTTTTAAAAAAATTCTAGTTGGAGATATAGCTCAGTGGTAGTGTGTTTGCCTAGCATGTACAATACCCTGGGTTCATTCCCCACAACCACAAAACAAGTCTCTCTCACACTTTTTAAACATGACAATCACACTTTTTAAACATTACAATATATGTGAAATGTATGTTTCATATAATTAATTGTGTTATCATATATATTATGTATTAGATAATTACATAAAATATTATATTAGTAACAAATAAGTGGCTTATTATTTAGTCAATGTATTGATTAAAAATGGGGTTGGCCTCCTCCTATCTGAGATGAGATTCCCCATGTCTTAGGATTTGAGAATATATACACACATTTCCCAGCTATGTCTGTGTAAATGTATACATTTCTGTATACATGGTTTCACATACATATTTGTACAGAAAAAGGATCTTGGTATATATACACAGGTCTGCATTTATTTTGTTGTGGTGCTGGGGATTGAACACAGAGCTTCATACAAGCTAGCCAACTGCTCTACAACTGAGATAAACTCCAATTTCTTGTTTTGCTTTATTAACTCAACTATATCGATGAGCCTCCATTTATGTCTTCATGTTTAAACTTTTCTCATTCTAACAACTGCACTGCCTTCTACAGTAAGGACAAATGATAATTTAACTTTTCCCACTAAAAATATTTAGATTATCTCCAATTTTTCACTATTACAAGTCACACGACAATCTACATTACTATGCATTTATTCTTGTACACTCTTGCCATATTCCACTGGATTTTCTGCAGAGAAACTCTTGTTGTGAGTACACTCAGTAAACAAAGGCCCCTTAACCTCCTCACTCCCTGAATTTGATCAGTCTTTATAATTTTGCTACCTCTTATGAAGTAGAAAATGGTTTCTCAATGTGTGAGAAAATTCTATATAAGGATAAAACTATCTATTCTATCCACAGTATATCTGGAACATTTTTGAGAGAGGTACTTTCTATGATATTTACTCTTTCATCTCTATGCCCATTTTGGTTCCTTCCATTCTAACGTATCAATATTTCCTGCCCAGAGATAAATTTTATTCCCTAGGATTAATCTCACTTTAGTAATCACACATAAAAAGGGCTCAGGTATAGCTGAATAAATTCTGGAATGGGATTAAAAGGCAAGCAAGGATTTTGAGATTCCTTATTTCAGGGAATAGGGAGTAACATAAGGTGCATGCCTGTAATCCCAGCAATTTGGGATGCTGAGGGGGAGGATCCCAAGTTCAACATTAGCTTCAGAAACACAGTGAGATTCTAAGCAACTTAGTGAGATCCTGTCTCAAAATAAAAAGGGCTGTGGATGTGGCTCAGTGATTAAGTGCCCTGCATTCATTTGGGGGAAAATAATAGAAAAAAAGTGATAAGTTACATGGCCAAATCTGGTAGTAACATTCAAGATGATTCAAAAGAAGAAAATAAGACATCAACAAATCCAACTAGAAATTATAATACAGGTATAAAATGATGAAACTCGCCACTGCATCAAAAATAAAAGTAGAGGGATGGGATTGTGGCTTAGTGGCAGAGCACTTGTCTTGCATGTATGAGGCACTAGGTTCGATCCTTAGCACCACATAAGAATAAATAAATAAAATAAAGGCATTGTGTCCATCTAAAAATAAATAAATAAATAAATAAATAAAAGTAGAAGCAAAACTGACAAGTAATATCAAGGAAGAAGGATGGGGAATGAAGGCAAACCTAAGTAGAAATGTGATATATTCTTTTTTAATTTTTTTAATTTATAGATGGATATAATATCTTTTATTTTATCTATTTTTATGTGGTGCTGAGAATTGAACCCAGTGCTTCACACCTGCTAGGCAAGAGCTCTACCCGTGAGCTGCAACCTCAGCCCAACACATTCTTGCTAATGCCATGATTTCCAGAGACTGAAAGAACAGGGTAAGTCAGCATGAGAAACCTGTTTCGAAGAGAAGACAATTTCTGTTTTTTAATTTTCTGGGTTTGAAGTGACAACAGTGCTTCTGTATAGAGATGCTATAAATGTCAGACTATGTGGCTATGGAGTTCATATGGATGAACAAAGCAGTGGTGAAAATTCAAGCATGGAACTGAGAGCTGAAAATATCACAATGTATTTGTGGGAGTTTCCACAGAAATACAACAGTAGTATAAAGGACAAGAGGCTCCCTGGAGATTGAGGCACAGACTATGGATGGTCACTGAAATCTGTTCTCCCCATTTTTGGACATACAACTAAATTATATCTCCCAATCTCCCTAGAATTAGACTGAGTGAGATAACAAAGGTCTCCCTTGCTAAGTGAATGAGAGGAAAGTGATGTGAACCACTCTAGGCTGGACCATTTAAACTTCCTAAATGAGCTCCTTTGTGCTCCTATTCTACGCTAACTACATGCAGATACTGAGGAAACCCCAGGGATGGTGGCGCCACAGAGTAGAAGTAACCCTGGTCTCCGAGTTGTGAGATAAAACTGTCAACTGACCTAAACAATTCCTTCAGAACAGTATATGATTAAAAAAAAAATTCGATGTGAGGAAATGGCTCAAAATGTGCTGTGGAATTTTAAAGTCTATTTGTTGTAGTAGGTTAGCCTATCTTAACAAATCAGGAAATTACATATCTGACTTTCAAAACACACTGATGAGAGCCACTGAAAAAGCAACAGGAGGGAGACTAGAAAACAATTACTAATCTACCTGGTGGAGGAAAGGATACCAAGGTGGTGAAATCTATATAACCTAATGCTGCCATCTAGAATAATGGTATGAGAACTGTAGAGTCAGGATGATTAGAATTAAAATATTGATTCCTGACAGACATGGTGGTGCATACCTCCAGCTACTCAGAAGGTAAGAAGATCACTAAATTTGAGGCAAGTCCAGTCAACACAGACATAATCTGTGCCACAATCTCTGAGGAGCCTCTTGTCTTTTATACTGCTGTTGTATTTCTGTGGAAACTCCCACAAATACATTGTGATATTTTCAGCTCTCAGTTCCATGCCTGTATTTGCCTGGATTTGGGAGACTTATTTTCACCATTGCTTTGTTCATCCATCTGAACTCCATAGCCACATAGCTTGACATTTACAGCATCTCTATACAAAAGCACTGTTATCACATCAAACTTTGTCTCAAAAAAAGAAAAGACTGGGAACTGTAAGTCAGTAGTGAAGCACCTGCCTAGAATGTGGGAGATCCTGGGATCAAATACTAACTAATTGGTACAAATTTCTTTTTTTTCCCTCCAGGAACTGGGGATTAAATTCTGGGGGTGCTCTACCACTGAGCTATATCTCCATTCCTTTTTATTTTCTATTTTGAGACAGGATCTCACTAAATACCTTGCTTCAGTCTCCCAAGCTGCTGGGATTAAAGCATGTACCACTGCTCCTGGATGTACAAATTTCTTAACCAGCCTTCTTTCCCTCATTTGTAAGATGGAGGTAGTATGGGATTTCCAGAGGCAAGTGTGGTAAAAACCTGTCATCATTACTTTTCTTAGACGTTGAAGAAGACTGTTAAAAGCTGTTAGAATTGCCAGGTGCAATGGCCCACGCCTGTAATTCCATGGGCTGGGGAGGCTGAGACAGAAGGATCTCGAGTTCAAAGCCAGCCTCAGCAATGGTGAGGAGCTATGCAACTCAGTGAGACCCTATCTCTAAATAAAATACAAAATAGGGCTGGGGATGTGGCTCAGTGGTTGAGTGCCCCTGAGTTCAATTCCTAGTACCAAAAAAAAAAAGCTGTTAGAATTGGTAATAAGGAATTCTCTAGTGATTTCTCAAAGAGCCATAAGTTAAAAAGAGAATTAGAATTGAAGCTCTGATCACAGGATAAGAATTAGAAAAATAAAATAAAATGAAATCTTTGAGAGAGTGAAACCAATGATAAAATGACAGAATGAGTGAGCTGTGTTTAATGAGAAGAGACCTGTGAACTTCAGATATACGAAGGAAAGAAGCTATGATCAGAGCAAGGCTTGGAACACTGGATCAAGGGAAGATTACAAAATCAGGTCAAGAGAAAGATCAAGAAGGCATCTATTATATTTCTCTGACTCCATAGAGACTAGCAAAAAGATGTATATGTGGGAAGCGGGTAAAAGGTGGAAAATTAAGCTTTCTTGTGTGCACCATCTCCCCATGGCCTGGAGAAGGCTTTCGGGGAATTTGCTGGCCAACAACATCATAAGGCCCTACCTGCCTCACCCTTACCTGAACATGAACCTCCCGAAATCTTTTTCTCCGTCAGCCATGGTTCTTCTCCTTTCTCCAACTGGGAAATCACAACAGGTTTGCAAAGTTGATATCCTGCTAATGGAGAATAAAAGACTGTACATGTTGAGGTCAAAGAACCATCCCAAGAATTTAAAAAATAGCCCTCTGATATTCAGTCTTATGAAGGATAGAATAGAAACAGTGAGGCAAAAGACCACAGCAATTCAGACATGGTGTTCAGAAGGTACTAGAAATCTCTAGTACAGAATCAAAAACTCAAGCAAAGTCCTTAGTTTGGAAATAAGAATTTTCTTCCAACAGGAGAACCAATTTTACAAGGGGAATCAATCCTTACCCACTGAGACCAGGTTCCCATAGTTCTCCAGCATCACCTCCCGGTAGAGATTCTGGTGATCAAGGGCCAGTTGCCCCCACTCCTCCTGAGTGAAGTCCACAGATACATCCTTGAAGGTTAACAGTTCCTAGAACATCAAACACATTCCTTTCAAGCTGGAGTTCAGGAAGTTGTTCTGACCTTGTCTAGATGCAAAAAGATTCCAGTCAAATTTTCCTGGATATCTGCTTGATAATTGTTTGCCTGATTCCCTGTTGGAGATTTTAAATCAAAGCACAAAGCATGTAAGTTGCAATTTGATTGAAAGCAAAACACTCACGAAATATTAAGAAGGCCACAAAATGGTATGTAAAGTAATTTAGATTAAGGACAAAACCATTCAGGAATATTTGGGGAAAAGGAGAGTTCAAAGGGGGCTAAGGCCACAAGATAGGGACCTTTGTTGAGCTGAAAGAACTGACTAAAGTAAGAATACTTTAGAATGAACAAAATATCCTTAGTTAGGTTTCTCTATTAAATAAGGAAAGTATGAGAGAACAGAAGATTTTAGGAGGGAGCATGAATTCTGCCTTCTAAGGAAAGATGGATTGTAAAGTACCAGTATCTTCTTTGATATTCAGTCTTACAAAGGATAGAGTAGAAACACATTCCTTCTCTTGCTATACTTGTGCCCCAGGGGCTTGATCAAAAATTTCTCTTAAAGGTCAACTAAAAAGTGACTTCAAAGGATACTGGTACCTGATTCTTTTAAAATGTTACTTAATGGACCTGGTGTGTAGCTCAGTTGTAAAGTATTTGCCTAATAAGTCCTAGGTTAATCTTAGGACTGCAAGTAAGTAAAATAAAATTAAAATAAATATATTTTTTTAAAATTAAAGGCTGTTTAAAAGTAAAATAAGGGGGCTGGGGATATAGCTCAGTTGGTAGAGTGCTTGCCTGGCATTCACAAGGCCCTGGGTTCAATCTCCAGCACCACAAAAAAAGAAAAAAAGAAAAAGTAAAATAAAATGAGCCAGGCACAGTGATGCATGTCTGTAATCCTAGTGATTTGGGAGGCTGAGACAGGTAGCTCACAAGTTAGAGGCCCAGCAGCAGGTAGCTCACAAGTTAGAGGCCAGCCTCGACAACTTAGCCAGATACTCAGCAACTTAGAAAGACTCTGTCTCAAAATAAAAAATAAAAAGAAATGGGAATGTATTTCAGTGGTAAAGCACCTCTGAGTTCAATCATAGTACATAAAAAAACAAAATGTTGTTCAAAATATCCAATGTTTTATTTATTTAATGTTTGTCTTTCTCCCAGATAGTTTCTGAGTTTTAAAGGCAATACTTCCACTCTCACATGCACCTCAACACTATTTTTAAATTTGTTGGATAAATGACTGGAGGTCTGCTTAAAACAAGAGGTTTAATGAGGAGGGTTATACCAGAGAGGAATCAACTGATGCCACCAAGTTTCCTGAGGAAGAAGAGGCTACAAAAAAAAAATCCAAGAGATGGAGTCAAAGAAAATCAAAGTTTGGAGATAAGCAGGATATGTAGCTCAGAGGGAGAATTCTTGCCTAGCACACATGAAGCCCTGAGTTCATCCTCAGCAGGAATCTCCAGCTCACCTGGGATCCCGCTGTCAGGAGCCCAGGAGTCATTTCATCCTTGCAACTTTCTCCCTGGGACTCATCAACTTGCTGAGATGGCAGAGCTGGGGAAAGAAAAGAACCATGAAGGTGGCATCTTCCCAAATCCCCCAAGGAGAAAAACTACAAGCACAGATTCATTGAATGGGGCTCCTCCCCTAATATACTCACAAAGAGGGACATTAAGAGCAACTCAAAAGTATCCCAAGCTTCCTTAATGAGGAGGACCTGCAGTGTGTTGCTTAGGTATTAAGGGTCAGTGCGGTCCCAAAACAGATATATCAGGTCATTCCTTTGTTCAAAAATCCTCAGAGATTCCCCACAGCCAGAAAGAAAAATCCAGATACTTCACCGTGAACTTCAAAACCCTTCACAACCAGTCCATAACTACTTCTCCAAGTGTTAGCCTTTTCTAATTGCCATCTTTCAGCCACTAGACACACCTGCCCACACAATCCTGTTCATTCCTTGAACGTACTTGGACAGGACTCAGCTCAGTACTTTTCTCCAAATCCTATACTTTGTGAAAACAGAATATCTTTCAGGTCCAGTTCAAGTGAAATTATCTCAGACACCCTTAATGAAAAAAAAAGCTTCTTTCCCTCAATTAAGTATGAGCATATGGGGAGAAACTGGACCTTGTTCATTTTTTTCTCTGCTAAAATGCTAAGAATAAACCATGCCAAGATGCTAGAATTTGAGAATTAAAGGCTGAAACTGAGGTATTAAAAATATGAACTAAATAAAATAAAAAATAGGGCTGGGGGTGTGGCTCAGTGGTCAAGTATCCCTGAGTTCAATCTCCAGCACCCTCTCCCCGAAAAATATGAACTATAGGGGCTGGGTTTATAGCTCAGTGGTAGAGTACTTTCCTGGAATGTGTACAGCAGTTCAATCCTCAGCACCACATAAAAATAAATAAATAAAACAAAGAAATTATGTCCATCTTCAACTAAAAAAAAAAATTTAAATACGAACTATTTGGGCTGAGGGTGCAGCCCAGTGGCAGAGCACTTGCTTGGCATGCATGAGTCACTGGGTTTGCTTCTCAGCATTACATAAAAATAAACAAATAAGGGGCTGCGAGTGTGGCTCAAATGGTAGAGTGCTAGCCTAGCACATGTGAGGAACTGGGTTTGATCCTCAGCACCACATAAAAATATTGTATCCACTTAAAACTAAAAAATAAATAAATAAAATAAATGCATGCTGTCAGTCTACAACTACAAAAAAAATTTTTTTTAAGTACAAACTATAAGTTAAGGCCCATGAATTACTGTCTTGTATTTTACTACACCTTTACATCCTGAATAATGGGCACCCATATAATTAAGATTTGTCATTTATCTATCCGTATTTTTCTGAACCATTTCATAGTTGCAGGCATCATAATGTCGCCATCTATCTTTGCTGGCAACCTAATCCTGGGTTCACAAAACCTGACTATTCCAATAACTCAAGAAAATGACAAAGAAAGCACACAACCACACAGACTTACCTTTTCAATAATCTGGAGCTGGCTCTGTGACATTAAGGGTCCTTGGAAAGAGAGAGAGCCACTGGAATTCTTTATTCTTATATAGGGAACACACAAGGGGAGGTTCCATGGAACATTCTATCCCCAAAAGGGCAAAGGGGCAGGATTACAAAGGAACAGGTGAGTGTAGATCAACCCCCGCAGGTGATGCCTACACCTGGAGCCATGCTTGCTATCCAAGCTGGGACAATGCCCAAGTCAATGAAATTAGTAATTGGTCAGGGCCCCAGGGCATCAGGACTTGAAGGCGTCTGCATTCATGGCAGCTCCCAACAATAATACGTCAACTCTAAATATTTCAAATAAGAATATTCTTTGTATAACCATAATATCATGTATCATAATTAAGAAAATTATTGTTGTGGAATTACTGTTAATTCCATATATCATCCATATTCATATTCAGTCCATACTCACATTCCCTCAACTGTTCCCAAAGTTTCTTTTATTCTGGATTTTTTCCAATCCAGGAGTTAATCGAGTTCAAACATTCAGAGTGGTAGTTACCTCTAATCTATCACTCTAGAATGGTACTTCTATTTTCATGACACTGACTTTTACTGAAGAGCCCAGAACAGTCTGACTGCATTCTCAACTTTACTTCTTCTTCCCCTAAATTTTCTGTAAACAAGAAGTTCAATCTGTAAGCTTAATTTAGGATCAAGCAAAATATTTTTGTGGATGCTATGTGTATATATAGCATTGTCCATAAACTACAAAATGCCAAGTTATTCCATTATTGGGATATTTGATTGGGATGGTGTCCACCAGACCTCACCATTGGAAAAACCATGATCTTTCCTTGACATTTAGCAAGTAATCTGTAGGGTGTAATATTCTAAAACCATGTGAGTATCTGTTTCCTATCAACCTTTCAATTATTTCACTTGCCATAAAATATTAGTTATTACTGGCAGTGATTTTATAGAAAATTCTATAGCTTTCCCTCACCAACTGAAGATGTAAAAGGCAAGATAAATGCATCATTCAATCACATAATAATTTATTTTCTTTATCTTTGTTTTTTGTGGTACTGGAAATTAAACTCAGGAGCACTTTATCACTGAACTACATCCCCCAACCCTTTTTAAAAATATATATATATTTTTGAGACAGGATCTTGCTAAATTGGCAAGGCTAGCCTTGCACTTGTGATTCTCCTGCCTCAGCCTCTCAAGTCGCTGGGATTACAGGTGTGCATCACCATGCCTGGCCATAATAATCTATTTTCAAAGTAAGAAATCAGTGTATTAACCACCTCCAATATTTGCAAATGAGCCCTTCTCTCTTCTCTACTTAAAAAAAAATTGTAGTTGTAGATGGACAACATGCCTTTATTTTATTAATTTATTTTTATGTGGTGCTAAGGATCAAACCCAGTGCCTCACATGTGCTAGGCAAGTGCTTTGCCACTGAGCTGCAGCAACAGCCATCTTTCTCTATTCTAAGATAGAGAAAGAACATGTGGAACTTTTATTTATTCAAGGTATTAAATCAATAAAGAACCCAAACTGTCCAGAATTTGTCCATTGGGATTCTCTTGAACCTGGGTTCCACAACCTTTGGACATATGTCCACCAGTCTTTAAGCTCTTCCTTGTTTTCTAGCACAAGATACTCCAGGTATGTTCTCTGCTGCCTTCTGCTTCTGACCTAACTACCAACTCCATTCTGCTCTTCAAGTAGGTGGCGAAGAATTGGTTTTGGGCTGAAGTGACCTCTACTACTTAAGAAAACCCTAGACCACCCCACACCCATTATCAAGAACTCCAAAGACTTTTCACCCAGCTGTCTCCCCAGAGATGCTTCTCCTCCCTGGTTCTACCTTCCTTCCCACACTGGAGGAGAATGCTTCCCTCCCTCCCCACCCCCACCCTATTCTCACCTTCTGCTTCAAATATTTTAGTCACATCCTCCCACAGGGGCGCCCCCTCTTTGGCCTTCCTTGGATGGTGCAACTTCACCCAGGTGCTGGCCTTGGTGGGCAGGGTGATCAGGAGCTGCTGTGGCATGATGACTTCTGCACTCCTTTCCCAGGGACTCTGCCTCATCCACAGTCCTGACTGGGCTTGTCCACTTTCTGATGAGGAAACTGCTGGGACCCCAGACGGGGGGTTTCACAGCTGTACCAGCCTCCTCTAATAACCAACTACTGCTCCCCCGTGTCCTCAGTCTCAGGAACCAGCGAGGAAATACAGTACCGTAATCTGGGATGTGGCTTTTTTTGTCAATGGCTCTCAAGACACATCCCCCACCTTGGATTAACCTGTCAAGGCAGCTGGATGCTCCAGGTATTTATTGAGCCACCCCACCCCCTACAGTCTCCTGGAGATGCTGAGCAAAAAACATTAGTGTCAACAAAGTATCAAGAAGCCTCAGTTATACCATCAGCTTCTAAAACTTACAAAATCACCCTAAAATATTCAGAAAAGATGGAAGGAAATGGTGGATAAAAAAACATGTCCAAAAACCTGAAGGTGTCACTAAACACAAAGAGATGAAGATCCTAGTTTCTTGTTACAGGCACGATTATGCTTAAAACAGTCTGCGATTTGGAACCGCAAAGGATCTGGGTGTGAATCCCAGCTCCTTCCCTTCACTGAGGCAAATGACGTCAACGCTCCATCCGGGTTCTCCCTCCCTAACCAAGAGGCTATACTGAGACAAATGACGTCAACGATCCGTCCGAGTTCTCCCTCCCTGACCGAAAGGCTACACCTCGCTCGTGGGCAACGGCGCAGGGACCTTTTCGCAGCCTGGGTTTGAGTCAACCGCTCAGAATCAGGGCGCACCGCGCGTGACAGGGTGAAGGCGAGCAGTTGCTGGGGCTTCACGGCTCATTGCCCTCCCCAATCCCTGGAGCGTCCCCGTGCCCCCCGCTCACCGGCGGGACAGCACACCAGCTTCTGGGCCGCAGCCCGCAGGACTCAGCGCAGTGCGCCCACGGTGCCGTGTAGCGCCGGGGAGGCCAGCGCGATACGCGTGCGCGGTGGCCTTGCGTGTCCTTCCCGGCGTCCTCCGCCAGATCGGGCCTGGGTGCTCGCCCCGCCCCTGGTCCCCTCGATTGGGACACCCAGAATGCGAACCCAATAAGCCAGCTCCACTCATAAGAAAGGAGATGGCACCTTGAGCCCCCTGCCGAGGGTTCACGTCAAAGTGCCTACCGTGGACCTTTCAGCTTTTGACAAAAAATAACGACTGGAATCACTTTTTTGTTAAACTCCATGGACACCACGTTCTTGAATAATATGTATATGGAAAAAGGCTAAAAATTGAATGTATTGCAGTGTTTAATTTAAAGAATACAACCAGCTAGCTTTCTGTTCTACCATTCAATAAAAGTTCTCACGTTAATTGCCTTCCTTACATTTCTGAAATGTCAGGAAAAAACCACAAAAGCAGGAAAATAGTGGTAACCTGTAATCTCAGCTAACAGGGGTAACGGTTGCTAACATTTGATGCGCAGTCTGCTATACTCACACACTTCGTTTGTTTTTCACACATTTTAAGATATTTACCATAGAAGTCGGGCGCGGTGGCGCACACCTGAAATCCCAGAGGCTCAGGAGGCTCAGACAGGAAGATTGCGAGTTCAAAGCCAGCCTGGGCAACAGAGAGGCACTAGGAAACTCAGTGAGATTCTGTCTCTAAATAAAATACAAAATAGGGCTGAGGATGGGGCTCAGTGGTCGAGTGCCCCTGAGTTCAATCTCCAGTACCAAAAAAAAAAAAAAAAAAAGACATTTGCCATAGAAATTATTATACTCTAATGCTATTTTATTGCTGGATTGTCTCCCCTCAACAAAATAGTTGTACATTGTTCCAAATACTGTACATTTCTCCATTAATAGCTTCCAAAAAATAACAGTTTAGAAAATAGACTATGGAACTTGCTAGGTACTATGAACTGAATGTGGACCTTCAAAATTTATGTTAAAACCCTAACTCTCAATGTGATTGTTATCTAGAGATAGTATCTTCATGGAAGTAATTAAAATTAAATAAAATTAAAGTGTGGGACACTGATCTAATGACTTTTCTGATCTTATAAAAAGAGACACCAGAAGGCTCTTCTCCCTTTCTCTATCCAGTCACTGGGAAGGAAAAGCCATGTGAGGACTTCAGGAGCAGGCTCTGTCTGGACTTCAGGAATAGAATCCTAGTTAGAAAACTACCCCTGCTGGACCTTGATCTGATCCCCCAAACTGTGAGAAAATAAATTTCTATTGTTTAAACTACATAGTCAATTAGTATTTTGTTGTAGCGGCCCAAACCATCTAATTTGTGAGCATAAGTATTTACAATTATGAGGCTTTGTTCTAAGTGCATTACATATTTTAGCTTGTATAGCCATCATAACAACACTTTGACCTAACTACTATTATTATTCTTACTTTACAGAAAAGAAAACTGAGGTTTGGAGAAATTAAATATCTTGCTCAAAATAATACGGCTTACAAATAGTGGATCCAGGAAGTCTATGTTCCTATCTGCTACTCAATAAAACACAGCTTAAATTGTTAGTGGCAGAACCTAGGTAATAGTACATGGATGTTCACTATAAAATTCCTTCAATTTTTCTGTTATGTGTTAATATTTTTATAATAAAATGTTGGAAAAATATAACAGCTAATAAACAACAAAATCACACAGGACATTATAAATAAAACTACAAAAATTATTGATTTAAAATGGAAAGAATAGTGATATATAACATATAACAAAGGAGCAAGGTTATTTGGGGGACATATACTGAGCTTACCCATAATCCTGAAAGTGATAGATGCATAAATGCCATCTTTACTGGTTTGATTAAAAGTAACTCCTTATAATTATCAATGATTGCAAACCCAAGAAAACTACCATTACTGTGATGTTTCTGAATACTACCAAACAGCCTAACATATCTGTAATTGTCAAGATAATTATTAAATTGTTAAGAAAAAATGACACAGTTTTAGCAGAACCTAGTGACCCATGTTTATAATTCCAGCTATTCAGTTTGGCCTGGACATCTTAATGGAGTAATACCTCAAAATAATTTTTTTTTTGGTAGGGAAATCATTTATCAAAATAAAAAATTTTTAAAAGAGCTGGGCAGATAGCTTAATTGTAGGATCACTTGCCCGGCATACATAAGGCCCTGGGTTCAAAGCCAGGAACTGAAAAAAGAAAAGACTCAGTTTTATAGGAAAAAATATAACTTTTATATATGCTATATATATAATATAATGGAAGCCATATATATAAAACTATATATATAATATATATATTGAAGTTAGCACAAATATTGGAAGAGTCATGCTGATGACATGATAGAATATCTACGAAAACCCAAGTCTTAAGTAAAATTTATATGAATCAATAGAAGAATTGGCATAAGGTAGATATCTTACATGTATATATAGAGGTATAGCTCAGTGGCACAGTGCTTGCCTAGCATGTATGAGGCACTGGGTTCTATCTTTAGCCTTCATAAAAGTAAATAAAATAATTATTTTTTAAAAAACTTAGAATATATTCCACTCTCAGTAGCAGTGAGAAGCTATAAAATATTTAGAATAAATTTAATAATAAAATATAGATGAATATAATTTTAAATTTAAAATTATTAAAAACAAAGATTTGAATAAATGAAAAGACATATCAATCTTGGGGAAGACCTGATGAAACTTCATTGGGATTCCTATTAGAATCCCAACAGTGTTTTATTTT